AGACAGGATTTCCCTTTACAGAAACCATGTTGACTTTTGTCCAACAAATTATGTTCTTCTACATGCTTCACAATTTTATTCTTTACTATTGTTTCGACTAATTTGCCCGGTACTGAAGTTAGACTTACCGGTCTGTAATTGCCAGGATCGCCCCTTTTTAAATATTGGTGTCACGTTGGCTACCTAAAATAATGGTACCAAATGACAGCTTAATCTTTAAAGAGCTCTATTCTATGCATGCACTAAAACAAAAGGACACGTACGGGTACAATTTTTACCCCCTTCTGCGTCGCTCGGTCCCAGCGTGTCAGGCCAGGATCGGTCCCTCAATTCCTCAGAAAGATGAAAATACGAGGTGGAACCCTGTGGAACCTCGGGAGGTCAAAACACCTAACCCGACCCGCAGGTAAAGGGTAGATTGACACTCCAAAGTGAGTGCGCTCCTGTACTCACCTTTATACCCATTGTGTCATGCATTTCTCTTTCTTATCTGTGACGCCAAATGGTGCTGGTCTGTCTTTTGTGAGACCAGTTCTTACAAGGGAGTTGTGAACTTAATTTACACTTGTAAGAGAGAGTTGAGAGGATTAAATTGGAAGTACTGGGCATTCTTTTTCTCAGTGGGAAATTCCTCTCCCAGGGACTGTGTGTGTTCGAATCAACATGGGTGCCAGCCGGGCACTTCTTGCAGCCTCGAGCTCAGTTTATTGCCTTAATCATTACTCAGAGTCAGGGAACACTCGCATATCCTGATCTCGCATCAAAGCAGATCAAAGCTTAATGGCTATGCTGATTTTCTTATTGTTCCTTCTCTGCCCTGTATACAGACATCTCAGAGGGCAAGCAAGATTGTTTGAGATGTGGGAGGGCTGTCTGGCTATGGATCTCTTTCCTGATTTGTCGTAGACAAATTAGCCCCCATCATACAGTACGTATCGTTGGGGTTATTTCTCCCGATGTGCATTACTTTACACTTATCCACATTACATTTCATTTGCCATTTTGTTGCCCAATCACTCAGTTTGGTGAGATCTTCTTGGAGTCCCTCACAGTCTGCTTCTGTCTTGACTATCCTAAACAGTTTGGTATCATCTGCAAACTTTACTACCTCACTGCTTACCCCTTTCTCCAGATCATTTATGAATAAGTTGAAAAGGATTGGTCCCAGGACTGACCCTTGGGGGACACACTAGTTACCCCTCTCCATTCTGAAAATTTACCATTTATTCCTACCCTTTGTTTCCTGTCTTTTAACCAGTTCTCAATCCAAGAAAGGACCTTCCCTCTTATCCCATGGCCATGTAATTTACACAAGAGCCTTTGGTGAGGGACCTTGTCAAAGGCTTTCTGAAAATCCAAGTATACTATATCTACTGGATCCCCCTTATCTGCATGCTTGTTAACCCCTTCAAAGAACTCTAATAGATTAGTAAGACAGGATTTCCCTTTACAGAAACCATGTTGACTTTTGTCCAACAAATTATGTTCTTCTACATGCTTCACAATTTTATTCTTTACTATTGTTTCGACTAATTTGCCCAGTACTGAAGTTAGACTTACCGGTCTGTAATCTTTACAGAAGCCATGTTGACTTTTGTCCAACAAATTATGTTCTTCTACATGCTTCACAATTTTATTCTTTACTATTGTTTCGACTAATTTGCCCGGTACTGAAGTTAGACTTACCGGTCTGTAATTGCCAGGATCGCCTCTAGAGCCCTTTTTAAATATTGGTGTCACGTTGGCTACCTTCCAGTCATTAGGTACGGAAGCCGATTTAAAGGATACGTTACAAACCACAGATAAAAATGACTGCTTCTTGGAGCAGCTGGTACAGGACAGCTTGAGAGCTTTAAATTAATTCTGCCTATATACCATATATCCACATTAAATTTCAATCTCCACCATAATCACTTACTTTTAATAATATCTGATTCAGTACTCTAGGCTGCGTCTAGACTGGCATGATTTTGAGGAAATACTTTTAACTGAAAATAAGTTTTTCCATTAAACGTATTTCCGCAAAAGCACGTCTAGATTGGCACGGATGCTTTTGCGCAAAAGCATCCGTGGTCAGTCTAGACACGATTTTGCGCAAGAAAGCCCTGATTGCCATTTTAGCCATCGGGGCTTTTTTGCACAAAACAGTTCTTCTCTATCAACACTGGCCCTCTTGCGCAAGTATTCTTGCGCAAGAGGGCTTTTTCCCAAGTGGGAGCATGAAAGTATTTGCGCAAGAAGCACTGATTTTGTACATTACAAAGTCAGTGCTCTTGCACAAATTCAAATGGCCAGTGTAGACAGCTGGCAAGTTTTTGCACAAAATCTTGCCAGTTTAGATGCACCTAGAATGTTTCATTCTCTGGGTTGCTGTTGTCCAAATAAAATGTTTTGTTTTTCACATGTTAATTAAGTGCTTAGATGTCAGTTTTGCTGCCTAAGACTGTCAGAATCCTTAAAACTCTCATTAACCCTCTTGGCCATGACAGTAGCTGAGGAAAGCCAAGTTTTCACTTTTCCTGAAAATTGACACTGTGGAAGTCGATGTTCTGGAGTTCAGTTTAGTGGGTCTAGTAGAGACTTGCTAAATCAAATGCTAAGGGCACCCCTGTAGCTGGAACTCCTGCTCCTCATGAAGAGTAGGGGAAGTCAATGGGTACATTTATCTGGTTGACCTCCTGCTATGAGGATGGTGCCAAAGCTCGGCCTAATGTACATTGATTCAGCTACATTTTTTGCATAGCTGGAATTGCATACTTTAAACTGACCTTCACCTCTAGTATGGACCTGGCTGGAGAAATCTTGCCCTGATATCTGGCCTGTCTGCTTCACGCCCTCAAACATACTATGAACAGTGCCAAATCAGTGAATAAGTGACAATTCTATTGCACAGGTAGCTCCAGAGAGAGAATTTCTGAAACTTTCACAGGTGGTGTGATTTCCTGTGTGCCATGAAGGTCCTGCTTCCTGGGAGCCCTCTGCTGTGTTTGATTCTGGATGGGGCTGACGGAGTCACCCCTGAACAGATCTGTTGGCCATCAACCCCACATTAGGGCTATGAAGGATACATTAGCTCTGGGCTAGACTGCTGGTTATCTACAATTTTCAATATGTGGGGAAGGATTTCTTCACCCTGCTTACTGCCAAAGTGCCAAGACACCCCACCTCCTGGGAGGGCCCTCTCATTTTGTCCAATATGATAAGCAGCATTTGCCTGTAATAGCACATTTTCATGGGAAGTTACCAAAATGCTTTACAAAGGTGGATATGTATGCATGATTCCCAGTAAAACCTGACCCCAGTGTACACATAGAAAAATGACTTGCTGAAATGTATGGGTAAGAAGTAGAAGTCAGGTTTCGTAATTTCCAGATTGAATCCAATTTCCCTGCTATAAAGATAACCGACGTGATAATTTACAGGTCAAAGTCTGAGCTGTGGTGAAACTAAACGTATCTGATTCCTTGTTTTTCAGTTGTATAGTTTATTATTTTCAGGATAGAAAGAGAGAGATCCTGCTGTGTATACACATTTTATTTTCCTCTATCAGCAACCAGAGATAAACACAATATACAGATCATCTTCCCTGTATTCATTGGTTGTCTTTATTTATTAATATGTGACTTTCTTTTCAGAGTTTTCTGCGCTCTCACAAATCTCAGTGATGTTAGTGGTAACTAATGGTGCCCAGCTCCTTTGAAAATCAAGCCAATGATCTAAAAACTGAGATTATTTAATTAAAATTCACTCTGATTTGCATATTGCTTTATGGCCAGTTGAAGTGAGTGTAGATTCACACTAGCAAAAGTAAAACCAGATGACATCCGAGTAGGATATGGCACAATTTACACTAAGAGAAAGTCCTGCTTGGTGCACATCTACCATGCAGCCTACTCTCCCATGTAGGGTAACTAGGTGTCCAGTTGGAAAAGGGACTTTGATGGCTGTAGTTAGCACCACTGACTGGGCCATTAAAAGTCAGATCAGTGGTGCTGAGAAGCCAAAGCAGGCTATTACCTACCTATCCTGGGACACCACACTGTGCTCTGGAAGTGGATAACAGGTCTAGCTCCAGAGGGGATGTGGGCAAGGAAGAGGAGAGTATGAGTCTCTGTGCACTATCCCCACAGCCCTGCGCACCAGTTCTACACTCAAATTGGTGAGAAACTGACAGAACAGTGTGTGCTGAACTCCTGTCCCCAGCTTCCCCCTTCTTAGGAGCTGGACCTGTTGGCCGCTTCTGGATGCAATGTGGTGCCCTAGGCTGGGCAGACAGTTTGGCTTAGTGACGCTGACTGGGAGCCACCCAAGGTAATCCCAAACCCACATGATGCAAATTCTCACAGTTTATTGTACAGCTTCCATCCTGTTGGCTCAGTCTTTTGGGCAAATCTGCTAATACTATTGTCTCCTACCTGAAAAGTACTGGCAGCTGAAGCTGAGCCTCATGCCAGTATAGTGAACATCTATGCCTGCATTGAGGGATAGAAGAATACAACACTACACAAATGTAAATGAAAACACCTTACACACCCTACATTGGAACAGAAGATCCCTCCTCCAAAAATAATTTTATTGTCAAGTAACTACTGTACTCAGTAGTCTTTCTGATGGTGAATGGCTTAATGATTATGTAGATTGTAAAGTGTCCAGCTCAAGTGCTCATGGCTCTTATTAAATGTACCTCATTCGCTTTAGTGGAACTTTGAGAGTAGAAGACCAAAGTCTTTGTTGTAAGGAGTGATTTTCCTGATAGAATGAGTAATAGAACAAAAGGAGATGTTGATTTTACTGTAGAGGAGACATGATATATTACAGGATATTATATAGAGTGCCTGCCACATAAATTAGTTCGTGCATCTGTCTCACAGCTTATTTCTCTCTTCTAACATTGCCAGAGTGTTTATTTGTAAATATTAATAAAATCAGCCATGTCGAACCTTTTGCAGTGCTATGTTATTTTTAAAGATATTGAAACCTTTCTTTTCCTTATTCCCTAGATGAACGGGACAAAGTACAAAAGAAAACCTTCACAAAATGGATAAATCAACACCTCATGAAGGTCAGTTTATATTTCTGTTATGCCAGTGACATGGAACATTACCTTGAGTGAATGTGGGTTTTACTAAACATTTGGTTTGAGACTATGGTAGTGTTGCTGTAGAATAAAGACATGGAGAGAGGCAGATTCTGAAGTTTTGGGAATAATGGAAAAAATGAAGCATCATTGCTGTTAACCTTTTTGGTGCTTGCAAATGGATTTGCCCTAAGTGCTAGAGTAGGGGTGGGTAATACTTTTTGCAGGGGGACCACTTCATGAATTTTGGTAGGTGGTCATGGGCTGGCTCCACCCTCTACCCCAGGAGAGGCAGGGACTGAAGGGACAGGGTTGGGGACCAGCCTCCCCGCAAAGTTGTCTGGGGCCAAAGGCTTTGAATTACAAACATAGCAAAGGGATCACAGCTCCGCTGCTACCACGTTGCCTGGCAGCCACCCGGGGTTGCTGCGGCTATTTAAAGGGCTCATGGCTCCAGCCCCTGTCAGGGTACTGCTTAAATTGGATCCTGATGCCTGAGCCCCCCTGCCTAGAAATTTGGTGGCAGGGGCAGCAGAATACAAATAGAAATCATTTGATCTGCGATCTGGATCAAAGTGTTAGGTGGGCCGGATCTGGCTCCCGGGCTGCATCTTGCCCAGCCCTGTGCTAGAAAATCTCAGATGGCAGGGTGATTTATTTGAGTGTTCATGTATGAAATTAAAATGAATCAGTTTTCTTTGGAGAAGGAACTAAGTAATTTAATTTGTGAAGAAGAAAGTGACCTTGAAGATTATAAATACAGGACCACTTGAGGGTCATGGATGTGCTGTTCATGGTTTAGAAGTAAATGCTTTCTAAAGATTAAAATATTTTTCAGCAGCTTCCTTGTGGATGGCAGTGAACTTAGCCCTAGAGACAGAGCATATCATTTTAGCAACATGTGTAGCTTTTAGTCAACAGAGAATAGAAGGCTCTGAGTTCACCTTCACAGTGTTGCCCTTCAGCTCTAAGTTCAGTCCACTGTTTCATTGCCAACTGTCTCGCTCAGACATTTATTTGGAGGAACAGATTGTGTGATTGTTTAATGTAACTTGATTTACTTTTAGTGTATGGTAAATGTTGAATTCATGTGTAAATTGAACTAAATTAAAATGTATGTGTAAACTGTCAGAACTTAAGATGAAAACTCTGTTGCAAGGTTTGCTGATGTGCACATTTTGTGGAACACAGCACCTGAATTTTTCTGGTTTATTTAATCATTTTGCCATCTCTCTTTGCTGTGGCTGCCCTGATGGTGCTGGGGGGGGAAGAGGATGTATTAGACACTTTCTGCCAAAGAACTGTAAGGGGTTTTTTTTTTTTAAACCAAACTTTGCAATCAATTCCCTTTACTTTTTTTCACGTGGCCTCTTTGAGATTTTGGAAGATGCAACCGAAACCAAATCTGCTAGTGAATCTGAACATATGAAACTCTGAATTCAGACAGAGTTATGATTATGGTATGTCCTAAAACATTTAAGCCACACAGCCTCTTGCCAAATGAGGAACCTGGCAAACCCTAGAGGGAGAGCTTAAATATCCACAATACAAGCTGATCAAAATCCTGTGAAACCTAATCTGTCTGTGGGAGCAGACTTCAAGCTGTTCCATGAGTCCTTCCTGACACCGTTACTCCCTCAAGAGTTGTTGTGCCATTAGCTTCCTTATTGCAGCTGTGCACTACTTCTTCCTGAGTATTGTGGATCAGAAGTCATGAAGGGATATAACGCCGATCATGCCATCCATATCCTTCAGCTGGAAGGAAGCATGCTCTGATAGCAGGTGCCCCTATGGTTTCCCATTCATTCTGACGCCTTAACTCCACAGATCCCCAAATGAGCATATATCCCTGAAGTGAGATTTCTGCCAGCTAATTAAAAGGGGCAGCATGCTGCAGAGTGGCTACTTGCCATTCTGTGATTTTATTATGTTTGTGAATCTGTAAGAAATGTGCCATTGTCCCAAAGCATAGGCAACTCCAATATACACTAGTAACAGACTGCCAACAGTTGGAAGCAAAAAGGCAATTCTCAGGCTGATTGCCATGCATTTCTCCCTATAGTTTTAGATCGCGGTAGGGAACTTTTTTTTCGGTTAGTGGCCGCTGATTTACAGAAAAATCAGTTGGGAGTCCAGGGGTTGCACATAAGTGAGAAGTCAAAAACCAACCAACCAACCCCACCCTCCCATATAAACCTGGCTCCCAACTGAGAAGGAAGAAAACACTCCTCACATTCCCCCATGCACCAGAGTATAGGGGGGCCCAATCTAGTAGATTTTTTTTTGTGCACCAGCCCCGTGGTGGGGTGGTGCATGGGCTGTAGTGCCACTGTGGGCTCCGCAATGGTGGTGGTGAGGAACCCTGAGTGTTGGGAGCCAGATGCAAGCAAGCCAGAGGCCATATCTGACCCCTAGGCCTTAGTTTCTCCACTTCTGTTTTAGGTAATTGTTATCTTGTTTCAGGGGCTGTTAATCTTTTTCCCCACTAGAAAGGAATTTTAAAGATATTGTTTTAATTGTATATGTGGAGGAGGGGAGGAGAGAGTACATATCTGGGATCTCTTCGAGAGTGTTCATTGATACAAAATGTAAAGTAATTTCTTTATGTGTTTACAAAAGCTAAACAAATGTATCTCTGAAATTGTAATTAAATAAATTCTACTGTATCATTCTCTTTAAATGGGCCTTACACTTTTTAAGGTTTCAAATTTGGATTTTATAAACATAAAATATAACTAAATAAGATTTTAGTCTAAGCTAATATGGCTAGAAATAGTGGCAACAGTTTTTATTTTTTTAGCTAAATAGTCACTTGCAGAGATTTGAAGCCTTAAATCACCCAGTTATGAGTGCTTAGGAACCTCAGCCAAGTCTTGCTCCTGATATAATTGATATGGGTTTGCCACTGATTTCAGTCCATTTTCATTGTCCAAGCTGAAACAAATGCACAAAGTAATCAAATGGCTTGTGTGATGAAAAGGTAACTGTAGGGTTAAAAAATTATTTCTGTTTTAGTCATTTGAGATATCAGTGGTAACAGAGTTAAGGGTTGTGTTTTAAAAATATATGAAGCTGATACTGGATCCTATTCTGCCTTGTACACATCTCTAGCCATAAGAGTTCAGCAACCAATGGGAAACATTCTCCTAATACAGCAGCATCTTAAGGCTGCCATTTGCATCTCTATGCTGCCCCTCTCATAGCACTAGAAAGGGTAATGAAGGGTATGTCTACACTACCCCGCTAGTTCGAACTAGTGGGGGTAATGTAGTCATCCTCACTTGCAAATGAAGCCCGGGATTTGAATTTCCCGGGCTTCATTTGCATGAAGCCGGCCGGCGCCATTTTTAAATGCTGGCTAGTTCGGACTCCGTGCTGCGCGGCTACACGTCATTTGCAATTGCGGATGACTACATTACCCCCACTAGTTCGAACTAGCGGGGTAGTGTAGACATACCCTCAGAGACAGAGAAGGGAATCTTCATAATCCAGAGTCCGCGGTCCCAGAATCAGGTTATAAGTCAAATTTTGCTTCCCCACAGACTGTAGGTTGTGCTTCTTTTGTTATGTAGCACATATTATGTTCCTGTAAGTTTTGTTAGCAGGTTCCTTTGAAGTTCATACTTATGCAGTAAGTTAAAGTATTTTCTTCTTTCAGTGCATTCATGAACACATACAACCATTGTAGCCATTACTTTCTTTTCTGTTACTGTTGTATAACTTTTGTGGGAGGAATAGTGACTTGGAAATTTATAATCTATCCTTTGGAAAGGTCAATTTGAAGCAACTTTAGGTCCTGCTTCTGCAAAGGGACATGAATAAGCAGATCAGAAGGGAGTGGGAGTGTTTCCTTTCTGGTCCGAGACTTGATGCAGACCTTGCACTATCTGCTTGGTGGGCTTCCCCCAGTACTGAGGACATGAGTCATGGGGGTTGTTTGTCAGCATAGATTTTTGGCAAGAAATGGAGGGTTTGAAGCCCTGCGATCTTGCCATGCTCAAGTACCAAAGGGGACATTGGCAAGAAGGGAAATCCTTTCACTCCTGCTGCTACAACACTAACTGCTAAGTTATAACTATTGTCAAACTAACTATCAAGCTATTTCAGTTTACTGCCCTCCCCTTTGGACTTTCAGTGGTGCCCTGAGTGTTCACCAAATGCATAGCAGTGGTGGTAGCCTTCCTTAGGCACCATGGAGTGCAGGTTTACCCTTATTTGGATGACTGGCTCCAGTGAGGCTGCTCCTGCCAGCCGGTAGAGATGCACGTTACATTCACGTAGGCCATTCTGCAAAATGTTAGAACTGCTACTCACCCCTGGAAGTCAGCTCTCGTGCCTGTGCAAAGGATCAAATTCATTTGTACAGTATTTGATGCCAGGAGGGTAAGGGCTTTGCTTCAGGGCATGGGTTTACAGTACTGACCCAGTTGCTGTGGTTACTGGCTGACTTGCCAATCACCATGGCCAGGACATGCCTTCAGCTATTGGGGCACCATAGCTAATGGGGCATATGCCTTCATCCTTTGCCTATATCCTCTCCAGTCCTGGCTGTCATTGATGTATCATCTGGGGTGCGACAGCATCGATGTGTGTGATCCACGCCTTTCTGCGGTGGCTGGACCCCCCAGTCAGTGATGGTTGGCATTTTATTTCATACTCCGCAACCTGCAATCTCTCTAGTTGCACACGTATCCGCTTTGGGCTGAGGTCTCACCTCAGGGACCTCACCACCAAGCTCTATAGATAATGGAGGAACTGTCTCTCCACATCAGTGTCCATGAACTCTGGGCAATCTGCCTCATGTGTCTTGCTTTTCAACCCCACATCAAGGGGCAGTGTGTGGCGGTCATTATCCACAATACAATTGCTATGTACTATATCAACAAACAGGGAGGGGCCTTCCTCTGTGGAAATTTTGCATAACCCACTCTATTTACCTGGAGGTATCATATCTTCCAGGGGTCCAGAATCAGTTGGCTGATTGT